ACAGCATTGTGTCGTTTACTAATTAGAAAAATGTGGAGCATTTCAATTTCAAAAGTCGCTTCCTCTTTGAAAATTATTATACATCCTGCGTTTGTTTCCATTCCCCTTCATTATAATAAAGTACTTTAAAAACGAATACAAATCTATTTATCATTTTCTAGCAAGTACGAATATGGACCCCAAGGACCCGCGCATCTACGAAGTGGTGGTGAAAGAGGTGAGGAAAATATTTCATTTGTAGTGGTCATAGGTGGGCTGTCAGATCTTACTAATGGTGTAATGCTATTAATACATTATTACCTTCGCCAAGAATTGACGAAGGTTATGTTTCCCTGGCCGTGTGTCTGTGTGTCTGTGTGTCTGTGTGTCTGTGTGTCTGTGTGCCTGTCTTTCTGTCAACAGACAAATTTTGATTTATGGATTGTAATTTTGTTCTAACCAAAGTAAGATTTTTTTCTTATATCACACTATTCCTTTTATCTAGAGTGTGACTCCAGGCTACATAGTAAGCAACATTCCACAGGTGTTTCAGCTGTCACAGATGCCTGCACCTGAAACCCTCAACATCTCTAAAGGAAACAAGGTTGGAATGCTTTTCAATTTTAAATATTAGGTAATAATTGGTCTAGACCTCTGCAATGTTTGGCTTAACATTTTCTATGACCTCCTTTAACCATGCACGTCTCTTATACACTATAGTCTATTGTTTAAAAGATTGTTGGACACTATGAAAGTTCATGATAGCAAATCAAAACACACCGGTGTCCTGCCAACGTTAATATTTCTAACCATGGACCATGAAACGCGGGTATGCTTGTTATGTCGCTGTATATAGTTAGTGCTAGCACGAATAACATGTCGTATTGACATTTAGGACGACAGGTTTTCCCTGAATGAAGATGGTGGCGATCTTTGTGTGAAGAAATACCTGAACTACGAAATTGATCCTAGATACGAGCTGATACTGGCCAATGAAAACCAACAGGTAAGGAACTAACTTTGTTTTCCTTCTATTTTAAAGGTAAGTCACAGTACACGCGATTAATGCATTAGATGTAAGTGATCCAATGCCTATTTGAACTTATAAACAGTACAACAGTACATAACTCCTCAACGATCTAATCATAATAAAAGTAGTGAACCCTGTGACTATACTGGTTCAATAAACATGTTTGAGTGGCGAAAAAGGCAGAAAGAACAAAAAATATGAGCTTTAATTGACTACATTTCACAATGCAACGACCAAGCAATGGTTGATGTTTTTACAATATATATGTAGCTAGGATCCAGTTATTTTGGATTCGTAGTTATCTCAGAGTCGGGGGTATGTTACAAAGATGGGACAGCGTTTGTCGCTAGACCTTTAGGGCGATAATTGGGGAGGGAAATGACCCCCGGCTTGGGTGGGAACATTTCTCCTTGCAGGTAAATGAACTCTATGGGGACTAACATAAAGTCATGGTTCGCTACAGAAGAAAATATTTCGTCTTGTCTGTGTAGCCGACGGAAACAAGACTTCTACATCTCGAATTATATTCTATAAAGCAAGAACAAAACGGGGGAGGCACTGTAATTTTTCTACAAAACGTAATGGCCAAATATGCTGACTTGTAAGAAAAAAAAATCTCCTGATCTTTTTTATCACTAGACCTGCTCAGTTCAGTACTCCTTGTTCCAGGTGGTGTTGGTAGTGATCGTGTCTGTAGAGGATGACCCCGCCTACCCTCCTGTCTTTAACCCAGACTGCTTCATGCCTCCCCGCAACACCAGCATTGCTGACGTAAGTACAGAACCAACTGTATGGATGTCTTTCCCGGGCTAGCACTTGACAACAGATACATGTATGCTGGTTGGGCAGCTCTGGCTGTTAATTCTAAACTAATGAATATGGACAACAAAGCGCCATATTGCTTACGTTTCGATGTCACCTTCGTCAGAGCTTCTGACTGGCGTACGAAAGGAAGGAATAATCCCTGGTAGATAACCCCAGTATCGTGTGTTTTGCCATCCTGACGAAATCATTTTCGGCATTGTGAAATGTTGTTTAGTCATAGAATTGTTGAAATATGTAACAACACCGGATGTAGGGATTTTTTATGTCAACCAGAAAAGACTATCACCTTGATGATGTTTCGGTGTCTTAAGCTACGGTCACAACCCGCCGTGCGTGCTTTTTGTCCGTACGTTTTTTGGGAGGTTACGTCTGCTACGTTTCTTCTGAAAACGTGGGGAAGGAGTGGCGTCTACGCACGTCACTCGCACGGTTTCGCAAGGTGTAAGAGTGTGGTCTGCACGCCACGTATGGCCGTGAGTGGTTGCGTGCATCGTACGTTGCGCAAGTGGTAAGTGAGTTGTACGTGCTTACAACGTACGATCTCTGTGCGATTGCAACTTTACCGAAAGGAGGCCGTACTCACCGTGCGTCTTTCGCACGGTACGTACTGGGCACGCGCGTCGCTCGTACTCGCACGCACGGGTGGTGAATCCGTAGACCGCACGTAGAAAAAGTTTAACATGCACTTAAAGTTCTATGGCGTGTCTACGTGCTCCCAAATCTGTAGGATTCCGTACGGAGGCGGTACTCACCACGCACGGATGCCCTACGTTTGCCCACGTTTTTGCACGTAGACAGCACGCAGATGCACTTATGGCGGGTTGTGACCGTAGCTTTACAGACTGGTTGTGAAAAAGAAAGTCCCTATTCACTATGTTCCACCAACCTGATGAAACAGTTTTCGGAAGTAACAACAAGTTTAAGACACCGATACCGGCTTGTGACAAAAAAATCATTGTTTCACTGGAGGTCTATCCAGGTCACCTGGAATGATCTTTACCTGTTTTTCCACTATAGGACTGGCCGTTCACGGTGTCTGTGGAGTCAATATTCCTCAGCAAACCGGCTCTGATAGTCGGGGGTGATAAAAACGAGGCAGCTGTTGTCATTGACAATGACAGATGTAGGTATTTCTTTCTTTTCTGGTTTTATGTACAGTGTTGCTTTGATTTATGGTTGTTCTTGTTACCTGCATAAAAATAGAGGTATTTGTTACCTCCATAGAAACGGAGGTATTGTTTTTGGTACGTCTCTTTGTCAACAAGTGTGCGTCTCTGTTTCCCCATGACCCTTAGGTCAGGTTGTAATGGATCTAACTGGATTCTCTGTCCAAGGGAGAGGAAGTCATTAATAATGTTTAATCTGGTAGCGCCCGCTGGTTCCCATGTGGTTTCGTTACATGAGCCTCTTGACAGCTGATAGCTGGTGTTGTTTCCCTAGGAAGATATTAATGAATGAAGACCTTTATTGTACATTTGTGTTCTACAGAACTAAGTACAGGTCGCATGGGTACAGAACATGAACATAAACATATACATTACATACATATGAACATATAAGAGTGTGAATAAATGTCTAATTTCTATTCTTTTCGGCTTCATCTCGCTTAGTAGTGATTGTATGGATATATGCGGCTGTGAGATTACTTAAAGTAGGTTTATCAAAAGTTAAAAGGAATACAAATTTCTCTTTACTAGTCAAATTTCTGAAATGGGGAAATATACTTAATACATGGCTAAAATATGAGTCTATCTCTACTATACAAGGGGCAATCTATGGTTAAATGTATTTCATCTTCTATTTGGCCTAAACTACAGAATTGACAGGTTCTTTGTTCTAGAGGAGTGCGGTTATGTCTTCCTGATTCGATTCGTAATTTATGACAACTGATTCTTAGTTTTGTAATGGAGGACCTGTGACGTATGTTCGCAAAGTTGAGATATTTTTCTTCGTTATAGGTATGTTTTAGTAATCTGTATAGACGTAGTTTGTTCTTTGCAATCACAGCTTTGCTATCATTGTGAATTTCGGATAGGAATGTTTGAAAATAATGAGACTTTTAGACGCCGCGGTATATGAGAAGAGATCAGAAGTCACCGAATTCTAATTTTGATCAAAGTTTGACAACTACTGACACTGTCACAAAAACATCACCACTTTCGTGGGAAATGACATTTTCTACATTGTCATTTTTACGTTGTTTCTTCCAGGTGATGTAAAGGCCTTTGTGGCAGTCAAGGACGATAAAGTTGATATGATCGACAAGGACTATGTACCGAGTTTTGACCTGGGCTGCACAAACACACAGGAACCACCAAGGGGAATGCCCGACATCAGAACTTACTGGGTGAGTCTTTCTGTATACTTTGCATTCCTTTGTTTGAATTATCTTCTAAAATGCTGACAAACCGTTGCATATATTAAATGTCCTGTATAGATCAGTCTTTTATTAAAACAAAAGTACACGTAACCTGTGGTAAACGTTCCATCTTTCTATGCATGCTTTTTACAGTGCCCTTTGCATGGTATCTCCATCAAATAATTTTTCTTTTGAAATGTTATTGATACTTTTGAACAAAGGGTCTGTAGATACCAAAACGCATTAACTATGATGCGTCAAATACCTGCGTCCGCCTCTATGTTGCTTTTTATACATATAGCGTGGCGCGAATATCAATAACAAAACAAGGAAGGAGAGGGTAAACTAGTCTATGTCGGAAAGTGTCGGGAACATTGACATTACTCTCTAAACCTGCTGAACACGACAAAACAATAATACATTCCTGCTAACATAAGTCAAACGTAAACATGCTATCATTGGTAAATAATTTCATCAGGTTGGTAAACGACTGAATAGCAAAGTTCTTTTTATCACAACCATTTATTTTTCACTAGCCGACGTTTCAATGACCTTCTGTCATCTTCATAAGGGCATTTCTGACTGGTGTACTGTGCACTGACGTTAGACGTTACTTGGGGCATAGTGCACTAAAGGTGTTGCATAGTTCATAGTGAACTTAAGCTAGTTTCTTTCTGTTTACCATACATTCCGGAACGTAGTGTAATTGTGACATACATACTAGGCATATCTTATATATAGAGACAAATCTTATATAGAAACACTTTACATTTGGAACCGCATATTTCCCTATGATGTAACAATGCCTAGTATGTATGTCACAAATACACTACGTTCCGGAATATATGGTAAACAGAAAAAAAACTAGCTCAAGTGCACTATGAACTATGTAACACCTTTAGTGCACTATGCACCAAGTAACATCTAGCATCAGTGCACAGTAAACCAGTCAGAATTGCCCTGGTAAAGATGACAGACGGTCATCGAAACGTCAGCTAGTGAAAAATAGATGGTTGTGATAAAAAGAACTTTGCTATTCATGCCATCATTGGTCAATCTGCTAATTGTGATTCGCTCAACGCAGGACTTGCAATCAATGTAGCCTCTAGTAGGCTTCGGAAACGACCGGAAAGACTTGGAATCAGTCAAAATGACAGGTAGCCAAGACACGGGAGTTGGTCCGCTGCTTATTACTTTTGAAACAAGACTGGCAATGAAAACAAACATTGCCATGGCGACGGTGGTTGCTGTTAGGGTTATTGTTTGCATGGCACTGTCATCATTTCATGATTTTGAGGAAGACTTGGTATCTGTTAAGTCTAGACAGATAAGTCTAGATAATACAGTGTACTCCCCCTGAGTGTATAGGGAACGAGTCCCGGGGTCACAGAAAGTAGGGCCATCTGGGGCAGACAGGTCTTCCCAAGGGTTCCAGGAATGTGGGCATAGATGTCAGGGAAATGCCTGTGGACATTCCGCATGCCTGTGGACAAAATGCCTGTACCATTCCTAGAATTCTTGCAAACTGCACACAATTCTGTACCATTAGGCTCCTCCCTGAGACGTCGCCAAAAAATGCATTGCCACTGATTTTCTTGCTTACATACCGTATTCCTAGAACGCCTCCTATGACCGACCGGATGACGGGGCAATCAACCCCAGCTGGTTTGTGGACTCCCCCGATCAGCCTCACAAGCGGCACGTGCTCGTCACGCTGGACATGAAGAATTTCTACGGACTCAACCCCTCCAGCTACTCTTGTCGCCTGAGCTTCGACCTGGGCTTCTTCGCCGCTGCATTTTCTGGGGAAATCACCATCGACCCGATTGGTTAGTCTTTTGTAGTGACCACAAAACGCATGCGCCATGCCACGCGTGCGTCATACCCGATGCATCATGGGTAAAATATGTGTTATTTGAGAGTCTCGGCTTATGAACAGCTTACTTTTATCCAAAAACAATAAAGACGGATTTTTTAAAACAAGAAAAATTTCTCATGCAACTCGATAAACGAAAGTATCACGATAATCATTATAAGATCCATCACCATCACAGGCCCGTATAAGAAGCCTAAACTGAGCATATGGGTGTACTTTAAATATAATAGTAAAATAAAGAACTTCTAGTAATGCTGTTGTACATACTACTGTAATACCATAATATGTACATAGCTCGCAAGGACATAAATATTCATTCAATTTGTTTTTGGCAGGCTGTTCCACTTTAATGACCCTGTGCCTTACCTGCGACTTGAATTAAACAATGACGCTGTTCCCGATGTCATGTTGCTGCAGGTTGCCCAGAAGGCTTCTATGGGGGACACTGTAACGAGACTTGCGTTTGCCAGAATGGCGGCAGATGCCACCCGTTCAATGGAGCGTGCAAGTGCCCAAATGGTTGGATAGGTCGAGCTTGTGACATTGGTACGTTTATTTTAAAATTAATTTTCCACATTTTTTTACAAATTCTTTATTTCAAAATTGAAAAGAAAAATATAAAACTTACACTTCAAAAAGTTTAATATGAGCTTACATGATACCTTTCAGTGTCAGCGGCTCATCCTTATCCTCATGGTAAGTGAAAACTGTTCATCATTAGGATTCTAGTTTTATCTTGATGTTGTTATGCTTCCCCTGAGTTTTTAATCTTTGTATAATTAATTATGTACTATTTCTTCAAATAATGTTTTTTGAATATTATTTGACATGAACCAATTTTCATTGTAACTAGAAAAGCCTCAATTATTTTCACAATATTCTTTTTATAGAAAAACAACGGGTCTACATTCTTGTCGGAGCTATCGTCGGTGCGATTGCCTTGGTAGCTCTACTGGCCACCGCGGTGGTTTACGTCATCAGAAGCCGTGCACAAACAAACAAATACGTCAGCAACGCTCTGGTGGATTCGGAAAGCTTCCGTGATACCCCGGATGAGTACACCGTGTATCCGGATGGAAATGTCCCGGATGTGATTATCAATAACGGTGGTTAGAAATGTTGCTCTGAAAAGTGTTAGAAGTGTACCAACGTTTTCTTGTATCAGCTGTGTTTTAGATGTGTTTTAGAGTGCTGATTTCGTTGATGTAATACAACTTGTGTGACGGTAGATAATTCATTTCTTGATTACATACAAATAAATGTATTTGACTATGCAAAAATAGCTTTAAATCACTCAATGGTCTGTGTTGTGACCTTGTCTTATCCGATCGTAAATCTTGAAGGCAGTTTACAATGTCAATGGTGATTGTGCATGAAAATAGCAGAATAATGTATTTAAGTTTACGGTCTTTTTAAATACCAAAAAACCTTTTTGGTGCAAAATAGACAAAATGACACAAAATGTACATAACGCATTCTTACTGTTATTGGTTGCATGACTATCTTATGTAAAACGTTCGGTTTGGTTAAATATAGCCTATGAAATCTATGGCACTTCCTTTATGTATCCATTTGTCATTATGTTTGAATGTGTTGCTACCATTCATGTATGTTGTAGTTAAAATTCTTGCTTCTTTTTCACTTGTAGGTTAAGAATCCATGGTGTATGTATCCCATATGTGTATGTTAGTAATCATGTGGTGCACGTATCTCTTATTTGTGTGTTAGTAATTTTGAGACTTTGTCGTGATCCTATGCTGAAGAAGATATATAGCATTGTCTTTATCTGTTGCTTTGGTTTGACAGTATGAAAAAAATTAAATGTAAAGGTTTAAAACACAAAACATGTATGGCGTTCATATCTTTAGACAGGAATATTCAGCAAATGAAGCGACAAAAACTGCGATGCATGTTGCTGTTGACGACGGCCTTTAAAGTTTCACGTTAATTTGCAAAATTCAAAGTTTCTGTCACCCCAAAAGGTAATTTTAAACTTTAGTACATTACAAATGTTAACAAGAAAACAGGGTCAAGTTGTTACTTTTACAATTACATTTGCCTTTGTCATATCATCTCGTGTCAGTCAGAGTTTCATGCTGGGAAAATGAGCACCTTAATGAACTTGTTGAAGTCAACGACTAAAAGGCTGACGTATTCTTCGTTTCTTTCTTCATAGCTCCCATCAGTTCTGATTATCCTCTTCACCACAGAAATGATAACAACAACATAAAAGGAAACTTCTTTTTCTTCTACAATTTTAGACTGGATCCCTTAGGTGTATAAGAATTATAAATGTCTGTTTCAATTTACGATTAATTATAATTAAAGAAAACATTCCTAAATATTCAAACGATGGTTTGTTAATGCGGATGGTTTCACGATTTTTAGAACTACTCCTTATTCGTTTGTGTTGTGTTGACAACATTCCAGCTGTTTCGTAACAGCGATCTTCGTAACAGCGTTTCCAGCTGTTTCGTAACAGCGAACTTATTTACATAAACTAAAGCTTTACAATTTCTAATGATTAAATCGATACCATCAAATTCGTGATTGTTTAGAATACGAATTGTTTGATAATGTTTAAAACGATTTCACTGGGCTCATAAGCTAGCCCTTTAGTCTAGCTCGTGGGATAAGGGACCATGGGATAAGGGACCAATGTACAAGTTCCTACGTAATGGTCTATGTGTGAGGTGTGTTTAACATATTGACAAAGGGGACTCCCCAACACAGGAGGAAATAAATTCCACTGTTAAACGAACAGTCACAATTTTCCCCAGCGTGTACAGAACTATCTATTTTTAGAAATTTAAAGGAGAAACATTTAAACTCGCAGCAGAAGATAGAAGGACTTGTTCCCGTATCGCAGGGTGTTTCAGCGTTCACTACGGCAGTTCTAATGAAGGTACTGGCGGTACTGTTGGTGTTGTGTACGCGTAGGTGTCTGGCTGGTACGTAACCATATTTGTATGCTTTCCACTGCATGTATGTCCGCCGTTTGTAAGTTTAATTTGTCGTCGACTCCTCTCGTTTGGTGATTGTTAGCTTTTAATGTAACAAGATAGTGATCTAGTACACACCTATCAATATCTCCGTCTAGCGTCAAAAATCAGGATTAGACCCCCAGTGAGAGGGGTGGATTCAGTGACGACCTTGTCTCCCAAAGGACATTCACCTTTAATAGAATTTGCATGGCATCTCTTAAATCACAATGATGAAAATCATAAAGGTACTTCTTCAAGCTAGGGTAAAACCAACGTACAATTACGATTACAGTCTAAGATTCAAAGCAATTTTTTTCTGGCTGATGAATTTGATTAACTCACACTATAAAAAAAGGTACGAGTAGAGGAACAGAACGTCGCACCTGTGGAGGATTGGTAAAACGAGAAAGATGTTTGTTTTTGCTAGTTCAGTTTTACTTCCTCATGCGCGTGTTTCGTAAAGCAGCCCATGCATATCCGGTAACCTTCCCTTTGAAAGGCCAATATTTACGTTTCGCCGGCGGCATGCATAGAATAGCAGTATACCTTGCAGTGTACAAATATATTTGACAATGATGTTACGAGCCATGTGTGTGTGTGTGTGTGTGTGTGTGTGTGTGTGTGTGTGTGTTTTCTCTCTCTTCATGTGTGTGTGTGTGTGTGTGTGTGTGTGTGTGTGTGTATGTGTGTGTGTGTGTGTTTTCTTTCTCTTCATGTGTATGTGTGTGTGTGTGTGTGTATGTGTGTGTGTGTGTGTGTGTGTGTGTGTGTTTGTGTGTGTGTGGAGGATGTGTGTCATGAAAGAAAGGTCTAAACATTTGATATAAAAACTCAATTCGTCACATGGCCTGAGGAAAACAGCACAGCATAATTAAAACAGGAAATTAAACAATGATTCAGAAATACAATCAGTCAGTAATAAAAAAGAGTACATTTCATAAGACGATTCATCACTGAACTACACGGTTACAACATTAGATCCCTCGGTATGGAAGGGTACCTACTACATCTGCTAACCGATCAGATAAAAAACTGCTTAACAAATATCTTTATGTCCTTATTACCTCCGGGTAGGGATGTATCCCGTGCGCGGAGGTTTTGTGGGGGAAGACGAAAATTACGTTCGCAGCAGTTTCTAGCGTTTGGGTGGACGGATATGTCTGGGACTTGGTATACGTTTTGCTATTGGGCTGTAGATGGTGCACGTTGTTTTTGTTTTTTAGTATGTGTGTTTTAGTGCGTGAAAATGATGCGTTTTGACAGCGTATGGACACCCCTTGTGTGTGAAAGTGGTTTTGTCTTTTGGTTTTCGGCGTGTATAAAGTGTCGTAGGTTGCGTCCACATCTGGTGAGAGGGGGTTTCAGGTATCGAGTGTGAAAATGGTCGCGCGGGTCGCAGCCAGCCAACTTCCGGGTGGGCCAATGGGTCAGGGGTCAACGCCCTCTTGCGCAATTTCGGATGTTTTCTGCGTATAGTACGACTTCTTAACTTACAAATACCGTGGTATACTGTCTCAGGCGTTCTCGACATGCATTTCGCGTTGGGGTAGACGGGACTCGGTGTATCTTCTGTTAATGGGCTGTAGATGGTGCAGGGTTTTTTTGTTTTATTGTATATGTGTTTTGGGGCGTAAGATTATTTGTATTTCGTGTCTCGGACACCCGTTACTGTTGTTAGTGTGTGAAAATGGTCGCGCGGGTTGACCATTTGCGGTTACATCTTCGCCAATCAATCAGCACACTCGGCTCGGGGTCGCCGATGTTATCCTGGAGCTAGCTTGGGTGCCATCCCCTACCGCGAGTGAGCGATAATCTTTCGGCCAGGGAAAGCCACACGCCCCGCCGACCCTGATTTGCGCCCTGGCTCTCCTCGCGTCCGGTGTCCCTGTGTTTTCGAACTTCGGTGGGGATTTCCGTGTTGTTTTCTGATTTTCATCATCCACTAAGATATACTTGAAGACCGAGCGTGATTTGAACTAGTGTGGGATAAGTGGGGAGGGATGGCAGCCGCGGGGGGAAGCGGTCGGCTTGAAAAATTTTCGAGAGCAAGTTGATTTCTCACGCGGCCGTTTGTGTAGGTGTTTGTTTACATTATCGCTGGTCGCTGAGGGTCGGGCAGCCAGATTCGCCACGGGATGCCTCCTGTCCTTTCTATTTTTGGGCTCCAGTCGGCTAGGGGGGATTTCACAGATCATTTAGCCAATTACAAACATTTCGAAACTTTTCGAAAAAATGGTATTCGCGCGAATTCACTAGTTAATTTAAAGAACAGTCCCAACATGCACCCAACATTCTGCAACATACATTACAATACCCGGAGGTACAAAATCTACGATTTTCCTTGTTTATTTTACAGGTAGAGGGTCATTTAATGTCGGGGTATCTGAGGTATGTATATTTATATATTTTTCATGATGAATAAATACAAAATACATGTAGCTTTTTATGAGGACGGTACTAATTACATTAGTTCTGTTTTATGTTCTCCACGCTTTCAGGTATATCTTGTTACGTACTGTGGATTATTGTTCTGGCCTTTTCCTCAATATTCTTCCTCTTTTTATCTGACGCCATGGCTCAGGTGTGCTCTGCATATTCCCATAGTTACAAACTTGATAAAATAGAATATGTACATACTAAAAAGTGCCTAAACACGAGATTTCACAAGTTAAGAATAACAATTGGTTTGTTTTAGAGTGTTGATCCCGGTCACGTGATCACTAGTGTCCGTACCTTGTACCTGAAGTGGTGGAGAGGTGATGGACAGTTTCGCATCACATCAGGGAACAAGGTAAACCATTCTGCCATAGAATAAGAAATACAAGATCACAGTCTGGGCTTAAGATTGAACAAGGCTGAAATGTGGCACTTCAGTCATTTGTAAAAAAAAAAATATACATGTACGATGCCTAAATTCTATTGACAGGGATTTACAAAATTCTTTTATGTAGCTAATGTAACATGGGGTACAGAAAATCTAAATAGAATAAGTTTTCTTATATTTTCTGGGGAGTTGATCTGTTGTAATAATTATAACGCAATACTAAACAATATCGCAACACAAAGGAACCACAAAGATAATTTTAATGCCCAGGACGATCGGTTTACAATCGGGACTGAGACTGGTGACGTCATCGTGAAGAGGTACCTGAACTATGACATTGAGCCTCACTATGAGCTGAAGGTGACCAATGATCAAGCTGAGAAAAAGGTACGTCACATTTCCATTCGCGGGCTTTTTTCTAAAAAAAATATTGAAGTCACGTGACTCTTGTTGACCGTATTGCCTCTTGGTCACGTGACTGCTCTCTTCAGTAGCTGAAGGAAGATGGTGGATGCTGTCTGAAGGCTTTAACGCTGTACCCCAGTAATTCAGTTTAAAAAAAATTAGCCCTCGAAGTGATTTCGGTGGTTGTGCTATTTTTTGGGTTTTGAAATCGATTGATGAATTGTTTTTACTTCGAGGTTAGACGAGTGTCCAGGAATCATGCGATCCAATCGGATTACTTAATTGTTTGATTAGATTATGATTGAGAAGCTCCTATTGGTGTTTGTCACTCCTACCGTAAAACCTTAAATGGTTGGGGCTTTGCGCAGTAATAATTTATCGCACACCAACTGGTGACTTAACGGACGATTTAACAAAGCATATCATATAACCTTATCAGTCGACTTTATAATATGTTTATCATTTTATCATGAAAGTTCATCTGTGTTGGTAGTAATCATAGTAAAACGTTAAACTTTATTCCAACACACTATTTACAGGGATCAAATTTTCAGCGACCACTGTCGCCTTCATCAGGATAATTAATGACCAATCACTTCAACACGTGATTAATTATCCTGATGAAGGCGACAGTGGTCGCTGAAAATTTGATCCCTGTAAATAGTGTGTTGGAATAAAGTTTAACGTTTTACATTTATCATTTGTTTTGATCATATGCAGAAGGAAATTAAAATCAGAATCTCGGTGGAAGACGACCCGAGCTACCCTCCCACCTTCAACCCGAGCTGCTACATCCCACCTCGGGTCAGGAACACCACAGAGGTACGTACAGTAATGTCAGAAAATCTGTGAAAACTCACGTACCTAAAATTGACCCGATCAAACTAAACCAGCCGGGGTCTAAGCCGGGGTTTAAAACCATCATGGTGTACGTTTAGTACACCATGATGGTTTTAAAATCAGTTTCATGAAAAAAGGTGTGGGAACAAAAACGATAACATTGAAAAGGGGAGTTAATTTTGATATCACTAAAGAGTACCACGAAGCCTAGTTTTCAACTGTTTTACAGCTGCTTATCATAACTTGTTTCCCCGCTGTTTGAAACCCGCGCCTTGGTTACGTCATGCTCTTCTGATCATACTTCGTCAGTGACGTACAGAAGTGAAACAACCAGTTCTGAAATCGTGGCGTTTTAATAAGCTAGCTTAGCCAACGTTGACAGTAGGTTATAAATGCATCATCTTGTACCCCAGACCTAGGTCATCCTGTTAGCTTACAAAGTTATAAGTTCACCATGGTGCAAATTTCAAACGTCGGAAGAATCCTTAACTATGATTAACTGATGTAAACAATTTGCAGTATGTTATGTTTATGTACCCTTTGATTTCTATGTCAGCCAAGTCACTCGTGGATGATAATTATCTACATATTCCACTCTTGGATTTTGTTGAATTATTATTTTGTGAGATACTTTGAACTTTCAACAAATCTGTGTGCCTTTGAATACAGTGAACTGGAAAAGGATAAAACCGTATCGATTTGCAAATAAAGTGAAGACAAATTTTTGGAAGTCGAAAAAGGAACAAAAGTCAGACAAGTCAAGACAAGATGATGCAAATTAGTCTGAAAGCTCCTGTTATACAGGACAGGAGCTTAAGTGTTGTCTGTCCTCGGGGCTGGGAGTGCCAAATCCCAAGTGCCGGAAAGATCGACCCGTAGCCCCCCTTCCCTGTTGAGGGTGGGGTTGTACATTCTTTCATATATTGCCTCTTTAACACCCCGTTCCCACCAGCGTGTTTCGCGGTCTAAGACATCCGTGGACTCGAGTTTGAAAGAGTGACCCTGGTTGTGTTGTAGGTGGTGGAAAATAGCTGAGGAGAAGCCGTTGGCACTAGGTCGGCAATGTTCTTTGTACCTTACTTTAAGCGGTCGACTTGTCTCTCCGATGTAGGTGTTGTTACAATTGGGCTCCTCACATTTGAGTCTGTAAATAACATTCGCCTTGGTACCCTTGTGAGGTCGGTCCTTAGGGTGTACCAGTCTTTGTCTGAGGGTTGAGTGAGGTTTGAAGTTAGTGGCTATGTTGAAGTTTTGGAAGATCCGTCGGAGTTTCTCAGATACTCCTTGGACATACGGAATAGTGATGTTGGCCTTGTTTTTGTTGGTCAATGGTTTGCACTTCTGGGTTTTCTTAGACTGATCTGAAGGTTTGAGTGCTTTGTTGAAAGTCCAGTTTTGGTAGCCACATTTAGCCAGGGCACTTCGTCCGTTTTGGCTTGGTCTGAAGTGACAATGTTGTCTGCACGATGGAAGAGAGTTTTGATCACTGCTAGTTTGTGTTCCAAAGGGTGGTGGGAATCAAAGGCCAGGTACTGATCAGTGTGGGTTGGTTTCCTGTACACTTCGAAACGAAGGTTACCATCTTCCTCTACGATAGTTTTGGTGTCTAGGAAAGGGAGCATGTTGTCATGGCTTGGCTCCTGTGTGAACTTGATGTTGTCATCTATCTGGTTGATGTGGTCAAAGAAGTCAGCAGCTACCCTCTTTTTCAATCTGCACCAAGTGTCATCTACATATCGAAACCAGTTGGCCGGGGGAGTGTCATTGAAAGTGCTGAGGGCTTTGTTTTCAAACTTCTCCATGTACAGGTTTACAACAATTGGTGAGACTGGTGATCCCATAGCACATCCGTGCATTTGTTGGTAGAACTGTCCTTTGTAGGTAAAGTATGTGCATCCTAAGCAGAGTTCTAGTAGCTCACAAACTTGGTCAACGGATAGGTTGGTTCTATCTGCAAGTGTATCATCGGCTTCCAAGGCTTCCTTGACTACTGACACTGCTTCCTTGGGTGGTATGGAGGTGAAAAGTGAGCACACGTCATACGAAGTGATGGTTTCATCATCCTCTACATGAATGTCTTTGATTTTGTTGACAAAGTCGGCACTATTCTGTACATGGTGCTGAGATTTCCCCACTAGTGGTCCTAAAATCTTGGCTAGAAAACCTGCTAACTCATAGGTGACAGAGCCTATACTGGAGACTATGGGTCGTAGAGGGACACTTTTGGATTTTTGTGGATGTTTGTGGATTTTGGGAAGGCCGTAGAAAGCAGGGGGTTGTTCCGTTGTGGGATTGAGTTTTAGGTAGGTGGGGCGATCCAGAACTCCTTCAGTTTGCAATTTCTTGAGAGCTGAACTGATTTTCCCTTTAAACTTGTTAGTGGGGTCCTTTTTCAAGGGCATGTAGGTGTCTTTGTCTCCCAATAGGTCCTGTACCTTCCTGTCGTACTGCTCCCTGTCTAAGACTACTGTGCATCTGCCCTTGTCTGCAGGAAGAATCAATATGTCTTGATTGGTGGCCAAATCTTTGAGAGCGGTACGTTCTTCCCGTGTGATGTTACTAGCAGGGGGTTTGGAGACTTTCAGGGTGGTAGCTACTTTGGTGCGCAAGGCTTCAGCTTGTCTCTGTGGTAAACGTGCCCGACGAATTGCTGACTCGGCTTCTGTCACAATGTCAATGCTGGGAATCTTGTTGGGTCATACTGCAAAATTTAGACCTTTAGAAAGCAGTGATTTCTCTGGTTCTGTGAGAGTATGGCTACTTAGGTTTGGCCTTCCAAAAATTTGTCTTCACTTTATTTGCAAATCAATCAACAGGTTGTGTATATAAACCTGCTTTCCCTCTGGTCTCTCAGTCACTGACGAAAGCTAGTGGATACTAGCTGAAACGTCTGACGTTTTCAAAATCATATCCAGTTGCTTGAGTAACTGCTTTTTGGCATATCGTATCACCTGGATGTCTAACCTTCATCGACGTATCTCTAAATAGCTTTGACTTTATCGTATGCAAATATAAAATTTCCTTCACTGCCGTTTTGTTCCAGATTTGGCCCCTGATGGGGACCCTGCACTCGTTCCTTGGATACCAGAATCTGTTTAGTAACCGCAGAAATGGATCTCGGTCGGCGATGGTCCTCCACAACGATCGCTGTAAGTAACGGGGCCAAATCAATACAATTTTTTTATTCAGGATTGGCATTGTTGAAGATAAACAAGCATTAAGATATTAACAATGGCAAAGCGAGACTGAAATATCTCCTCCTACAGACATGAATTAGGCACTGAGATCGACGATTGATCTGAAAAGGAAATGTGAGATGAACTGATATCGAGAGGGACTTCAGTGATTTTATAGGTAACTGATTCAAACGGCAACATTACAGTATACACGTGGTGTGTTTCCTTGTCCAGGTGATGGTAAGGTGTATGCGGTGTATAAGAGTGACTTTTGGGACTACACCGTACCGGAAGGAACCACGCCTTTCTTCAACTTTAAATGTACCAACGACCAGGAGCCGAGACGGATGACACCGACTATAACGCCATACTGGGTCTGTACATTTACTCATTTTCAGTGGAGCAAGCAAGTGTATTGATATATTTAGTAGTCTTTAATAGAAGAATCATTGTTAACTAGAGTTCCACGATTTTATACCATCGCCAAATGATTTTTTTCTTAATGACTATTAATTATAGATTACTCATTGGCTAACCATTTTACAAAGCATCTGTTTCTATTACATAATAGTAATTCTAAGAGCTTCACTTAAAAGCTAAACCTTAACCAATTACCAGGGCTACTCATTTAAAACGTCTCACGCTTGATGGGCAGTCCTGACTGTATCATATCTTACAGCCTTATAAATAAGTCATCACCAAGAAATCAATCGAATTCTACTGCAAGTAAAACGCACACATACATTGTGATCACCATTTATCTGATATGATTTTTGACGACGTCTCAGGGAGGAGCCTAATGGTACAGTATTGTGTGCAGTTTGCAAGAATTCTAGGAATGGTACAGGCATTTTGTCCACAGGAATGGAATGTCCACAGGCATTTCTCTGACCCACATCTATGCCCACATTCCTGGAGAACCTTGGGAAGACCTCTCTGCCCCCGGGGCTCGTTCACTATATATTCAGGGGAGGAGTGCACTGTATCTGTCTAGACTTAACAGGTACCAAGTCTTCCTGAAAATCATGAGATGATGACAGTGCCATGCAAACAATAACTCTAACAGCAACCACCGTCGCCATGGCAATGTATGTTTTCATTGCCAGTCTTGTTTGTCGTTGGTCTAAAGAATGCGTCCTATGAGCGTCCAGATGACAGCGCGATCAGCCCAGAGTGGTTCCTGGACAAGCCGAAGAAAAAGTTCATGAGGCACATCTTAATGGAACTCAACATCAAAGACATCATCACCCAGAGTCCATCTGTGTACAAATGCAGCATGGAGATCAAGGCTCCTAATTTCGGGCTTAACGCCAGCATGGGGTTTGGTATTGAAGCTTTAGGTTAGTATCGACGACTTCATTGACTTTTATCGCTAGTTTTTCAACATTGTTTTACAATACCTTTTTTCGCGTCAAATATGCCTGACGCTATAGGAAAACAGCGTTTTGGTGCATATTTTTAAACAAAGAATGTATCGAGACCGGACACCCCTCTGTGCGAAAGGTCATGCAAGTGGACGAGAATTGTAATACTTTCAACACACCAAAGGTCAACGGTTGCGACCATTTTCACGCTCAAAGGGGTGTTTTGGGGCCACCAAAAGGCGCCATTTCCCGCCCGAAAACACATATACAATAAAAACAAAAGCACGTGCATCATTTACAGCCCAATAGCAAAACATATAACGAGTCCCAAAAGAATCCGTCCACCCAAACGCGAGAAACAGCGGCGAACATGAAAATCTAAATCTCTCACAAAGCCCTTCCGCGGAAGGATGTCTCCTCCCCCGGAGGCAAAGAAAGATACAGATACAGATAAAATACAATTTAACACGTCCACTTGTTTGAGAAACATGTAAATTGAAAGTACAGGTATTCCCAGGGATACCCTTGAAAAGGGCTAGGGTGGTGGGACCCATCGCGTTTCCGGTCCATCATTCCCCTATGGACTTTCACCAAAGGCAGGCCCCCATTTTATACATTGTACATGGAAAGCATGAGGAAAGTCTCTTTTCAAGAATAAAACATCTAGTAGCTAGGAAACCTGAGATCTTTCATCAGTAGGTATCTTAAATGCACTATAAGATTAGGGTTGTATGTAATTTTATTTGACTAGGACAGTAATAGAAACATCATTCATAATGTTTAACTGATTTATATAAGGGTGCCCTGCTGGGTTGTTCGGAGGAGGCTGCAGTGAGATCTGTGTGTGCCAAAATGGCGGCAGCTGTCATCCCTTTAATGGCGCCTGTAAGTGCCCGGATGGATGGAAGGGCAGGGCCTGTGATATCAGTAAGTGCTCTGACGTCATTTATACCCTTATGGTAAGTGCTGTTGATTGGTCAAGTCCCTGTCACTAGAAACAAATAAACTGACTGGCACTCAACAGAACTGTACTGGCACTCTAAACTATATTCCCTTTCATACCGTATATAGCAGAATGTCCCCTCAGAACACCTTAAGAAACTTTAAGCAAGGAAAATGTCCTAATATTCACATTTTTAGTCGTCATTGTCAAATATTGTTAGTGTGGATCCTGCAAAGATTGAGTGTAAAAAGTCGTTCGGTGTGATATAGCTAGTTGCCGCCGCGCCGCGTGCCTGTGAGCTGGTGTGTTACGCCAAGATTTACTACAAAGACCAAATAACTGCGTCAGTTTTAATACTGGTATTTCTACCGGCGCTACGCTATTTTAAGGATAACTATTATGACGTCATTTTCTGTTACAGAGGATCCTAAGGTCCTTATGTCTCCGACCTACCAGAACGTCACTTCCGGCCAGACAGCACGGCTCAGCTGTGTTGCTCTAAATGTCCATTCCGCCAGCACCTTCGCCTGGGCTCTGAACGGGAAACAGCTGAGCACAGAAGGTAACAACATGGTCACATTCCAAGGATTCAACACACGATTCAACAGGTACGGTGATAAAGCGTGGCATACAGTATAGTATATTTTTTATTCGCCCTACTTTTTGCTCATACATGTATTTAGAATAATTATGTTTACCGAAGGAAAACATATTTGTTTTGCTCAGTTTCCTATTCTCCCAACATTGACCTCTGACCTGGTCAATGACCTGAACCAGACTGTCTGTCACCATGGTAACTGGTGTTGGGTTACATCATGTTGCAATTTTATAGCAGGAGAGATTTAGACTCCTGTCAGCATATATATGAATGTGTTTGAGTAAAAATTAACAGAGGATACCATATGCGAAGGTAAACACTATGTATTTGTTTGCAAATATTACCCTTCTAGTTATAAATGTTGTTAGTTACACCTTATCTAAAATTACTGTAAAATCGAAACTGTTTTCCTGTTTATTTATTTATTCATTATCTTGTTTACTACAGGACATTTGTAAACGTGACTATTACTGTGGTGATCTCTAGTCTGGGTATGTCTGGGGAGTACGCATGCGCATACAAGGCAACTGATGGAAAGATCTACCGACAGTTTGCCAAGGTGGCCCTGGAAGGTGAATACAAATGGTTTTTATTGTCATAACAGTACCCGTCGCAGCCTGTATACGGCTGAATTGATGCAGGGTATCACATAATCAATCAAATAATACACATGATACACATATTTGTTCCACAATTATTTTTTGTGGAAAGGGTCTGTGCGGCTGCCATTCGGCGCCACAAGGTGACCTCAATACGGCTTTCCCCAACCGAAGTTAGGTACCCATTCACACATGGGTGGAGTGGGGAAATTCGTGTAAAGTGCCTTTTCCAAGGACACAACGTCGGGGCGCATATTCAGACATGTACCGGGTACGACTTGGAATCGAACCAGGGTCTCCCCGGTTCATAGTCGATTGCTCTAACCACTACACCACCCGACGCCACAATAATATAGATCACCTCTTTTATCAGTAAGGACGTTGATTGACAATACGGTTTATTGCATTTCCATGCCCAACAAGTAGAGCTTATTGTAGTGATTTGGTATTGTTGTATCTACTTGCTTCAATTTTCAGTGAGTTACCGCTAATCCGTAACTTACCCATGGCTCAGTTTTTTTTTTTACCAAGATATTGTTCTCTTTAATATATCTGTTTAATTTTTTTGTACGTTCATAACATACAGTGAAGTCTTGATTTCAATTTAGTCAAGTTTCTAACCAAGTTGTTACTAACCTAACTAATTCATTCAGGAATTTGGACTGGTTTGTTGCTTAAATTTGCTTAAATTAAAAGTAAAACCCGAGGTCGTAGCGTCCTTAAGATAACAGGTAAAACAGCATATACACAAGTATATGATAATTAGGACATTATTATTATCATTTGGTAACCAGTTATATAATACATATATCTCTGCAGGAAAGTTTAGTCCTCAATGTGGAAACTGCTTCCCCAAGACTCAGCCCGTGAGCGGTGAGTTAATTATTATAACCAGGTTTAGATAGCAGAAGATTTTAAATAAAGTTTGTTTGAGAAGACTACTGAAGTCTACTTTTATAGCATGTTTATAACATTGTTTTTGCCGACGTCTCAGGGGCAGAGAAAAGCCATTGTTATCAAGATTTCGTTTTTTTTCAACCTTAGTCTAAGCATCACCATCTCAGTGTTTTATATCAGACTTCATGGATATGAGTTTGACACATAAAAGCGGTATTGACACCACTCACGGTGTCAATACCGGAATACCTGATTACTTAAGTTTCAAGAAAAAAACTTAACATCTTTCTGAATGTTTGTTTTTCTAGACGAGACCGTTGCACTGTACGTCGTCAGCGGCGTTGCCTTACTGTTTCTTGTTGCCCTGCTCACTCAGGGCTACATGAAGCACAGGCATGTCAACAAGGAGGCCGTTGACATGGTTACCAAAAATAACCCGGATGTAAAGAAACCCATTGCCGAGTTCCCGGATATGGTCCGCAGGGAAACCGTTGAAAACGAATACACCGTGTGATCACGTGATTGGTCTGGTTAGGGGGACAAACAGACAACTGAACAAAAGATGAGGATTTTATCATATTGACCAACTAAATAGCCTCCAATTGTTTTGTGTACGGTCATTGGCTACTAGTATCTTTTTTAAATTTCATGCTGTTATTAAACATGTAAACTGCACCGGAATTGGCAGCTGGAGTGCAAAACAGGTGAGCCAGTTCCAACAAAAGAATAAGAACTAGAGTTCCACGATCTCATACCTTCGCCAAATAATGTTAATCTTTATGACTGACAAATTAAAATAAATCCCGATTATGCAAATAGAAGCCTTATTTGCATGAATTATCGAATGATCAAATTCTCCACCAAAGACAGTCTTATACTGACGAAGAATGCCATACTAACATTTCCTCATAAATTATGCAAATGAGGTCATTATTTGAATAAGTTATCCTTAATGTTCACCTTCACTTAACTTTCAAGTACCTGAAGTATGAAATTCCAGCCAAGTACTATTATCTAATTTTTTTAATTTTCTCATTAATTATGCAGATTAAATCTTCATTTACATAATATCTGCCTGTGTTTCTCTCATTCGTAGCGATGGGACGGATGAGACGGAATCCTTCCGGTTTCGACTTTAATCTTGTCATTCTCAAGAATGACAGAGATCGGATCACTCCTCCTTTTATACCTTTTACTGTGCCTCTCTAGTGCAGGGCGCTCTGCTCGAGTTTACAATATTGGCCAATCAGCATTAAACATATCATTTTGCACTGGTTTAGGCTGGATTGCAGGGGGCCAACAATCTAATCATTTCGGGGTCTCATCAAGACCTACCCACCTACTAAGTATGAAGACAATCCATTTCAGCCTTCTCAAGTTATCGTGTTTACATGCAGAAAGACAGACAGACACACACGCACGCACACGCACACACACACACAGACAGATAGACAGATATACCACACACGAACGCCTCTGAAAAACATAACCTTCTTGGCGAAGGTAATAAAGGGTTGTATCCTTGACTAAAACGCTGTTCTTATCATAAGTAGTATTAGTATAGTATAGTATAGTAGAAATGCGCAATGTGACCTAGTATAGTAATGTGATCTACTAAATAGTAGATCACATTAGTATGTATAGTTTGTAAGTGTCATTGCTGTATTCATTTCCCTGTTTATCCATGATCTGTACTTAGCTTGTTACAGCACAAACGTACAATAAAGGTCTTTCATTCATTCATCATTACAACATCTTTATGGCTTGGCGAATCTTGGCGAATCTATGGCTAAAGAGTTGCGATGTAAACAAGTACTTAAGGTGTTTTATTACTAGTATTTGCGGTGATAGGATGATGTCGTGTATTTTTTGTTGAACAAAAATTGAATATGGATAGGCATGACGATGGTATTCTAACACATTGGGATTTTACTTTGTCAAATGTAAATGACGTTAAGTAACCCTGTATCATCTTTTGAAATTTTAATTGGTTCCAGTCTGTGTATAATCACCAAGCAGATGTAAGGAACCGGTTCAGTGTGAGATTTAAGCATATTTCTGTAACATTAAGTACATGTTATAGTAGTTCATTTTTCCACTAGATGTACAAACATACATGTAACACAGTATGAATTGTAACTATACTGTTTACATTTATTTCGGAAACATTACACAAAGCTGTTGATCAAATCTTAACGTTTGTGGATCGTAACATCATAGTCTTTAGCCCATAAATACGTTTAATTTTTTCACTTACATCTGACAACAGAAATCTACAAACTTGGTATTTCAATTTGCACGGTGTTTGTGTTTAGTATTATACATGAAGACAATGTAGCTGGTGATGATGTAAGTTTATTAAACAGGACCAAAGCAACACTGACAGGCATTCATGGTGGCTAAATTGTGAGGCTCGATTTAATAAAATATTTCGACAAAAGTGTGTACATTTATCAATTTTTTAAAGGTAGTTGCTATTGATAATTGTTGTTAGTCATTCTCGTCAGAGGTGAAGCACAACGCGATGTGTGTATAGGAGGTGATGATGATCACCGTGTGGCTTATACAAGACAAGGTTTCGCCAGGCCGCCGTCCAGGTTAATTGTAGACAGTAACGTTAGTATTTGTTCCATGGCACACCGGGGTATGTGGGGTATGTTCCTACTCTTTTTCAAATGATTGGGGGGGGGGGCGCTAAAGGCGGTAAGGTAGAATGAACCAAATCACTAGCGGGGAGGGCTATATATACGGGCCGGGGGGGGGTATCTCTTTGACACCGACACTGACGTTCGACGCAGTTTGCTGATGAGGAGCAAACGTTTGCCTTATGAATTGACTTGACTCCAGTGTACCAAACAGGGTGGGCAATGGGTGCGTATGTACCTGTTTTGCTCTCCCTTTCACTTTGTGAAATATCAAAACAAACAAATGTTCATTTCCACGTGAGTGCAAACACTACTAATACAGCTGTACTACTGGTCCCACTATATATTTTCCAGCATTAGTTGAGCGCAACCATTGTAGCAACGTCACCCTCGGCCACTGTCCGTTCCTCTAACAGAATCATCCCCCCCCCTCCCGGCCCTTCCACTGCAAACAGGGTCAGGGGACTCACGACCCGCGTTAAGGCATGCTGGGAGAGGTGGCAACACTGAAGACGGTAAAGATGGCGGTCCTGACGTCACCTGGACAGAAATTTCAATGTGTTATGTTTAATATGGAGAGTAAGAAGCGTCGCTTTACTGTTAAACATAAACAATTATGGAATACAAATGTTTTTGAATTATGTCGTTCCTGTATGCTGCATGAGCTATTGTTATAATGTGGGTTACAGCAGGTACCGCTTCATTGCATCTCGACATTGAATTTGAAGAGACACCCTTATTGTCAACCTGTGACTGGTTTATACTTGCAAAATACGGAACGCATACGGTTCCCCTTTTTCACTTCTCTAACAACCCAGCGGGCAGCACCACCCACACCGGCACTTATTATTTAATTATTACGCCTCACAACCATTTTGCACGTCCCTGTTGTAACCTTCAACATTAGCTTAGAAGTTATAGAAGGCATAAACACACACAGACAGACAGACAGACAGACAGACAACACACACACACACACACACACACACACACACACACACACACACACACGCAAGGACAGACACTCACATTTCCTTCATTTTTCGAATGGTATAATGACAAAGGGGTTTCTCCTCGCCTATATATACTTTGAAAACACTAAATTCCCCGTGCTTGACGTAATCAATACTACCCTTTTTCAGTGCGTGGTTCCCCAGATTTGAGTGACGTGTATCAGGTTACATAAAGGAAGACTTCCCATTTTTTAAAATTCCAACATGTAATCACCAGACGTAATGACGACACACTCAAGTTTCTTCAACTTATATTGATGCCGCCACCAACACAGGGGACAAGTACATTACAGGACAATACTCATTTACACCTGAGCTAAGTGAGAAAAGCCGTGTTAAGTGCCTTTCCCAAGGGCACAAGATCGGTGGCATGTCAGGACTCGAACCCGGGACTCTTACTTCCGAGTCGCGCACTCTGCCGCTACGCCACATGACCCCACGTTTTTGTTGTTTCTCAGGTAGTCTGACTCGTGGGTACGCATGTGTGAAGAAACAGTAAAGCCCTGGTCGTATTGAATTAACGCTTTGACATTTAGGAACCCAAACTTTCTTTTCTTTCTTTGGGCAACTTCTGTGAAACAATTTTACCATAGATATAACACGTAATAACAACCACATATTGTTTCAACAAAGTAAAAAAAAACTTATTTAAGTAGAATTTTTCTTTCCGAATGACTGTAGACGTGACACGCTTGAACCCTCCATTTAACGGGCTTACTCAAGACAGTAACTATATGTTACATAGGTCCTGTCACATAGAACTTATGACAGGGTCCCCGGAAACAAAAAACTGTAACAAGTTACATGGGGTATGTTCCTTCTGCGCAAGCTCCGAAGAGAACTATGTTTCCTGTCTATTTCACAGTTAAACGCACAAAAATAGGGTAGTGAGCTCACCGTCACGGTAGTGAGCTCACCGCCATCTCAGTACGGTCGGGCATTTATTGTCTCCTCAACTCAGTAACACGATTACTCTCTATACACTGTAGTTCTTATAGCATGTACATAGTACTTATACAGGAGCCTAATACAACAACAAGTCATGCGCTACGAGCTGGCGACCTGTTTTACCCTGGTTGCCAAAGTCGGGCTGGTCGGTTAAACCAAGGCTCTGTCCGGCGGATGTTTAACGCATCCTGACTTGTAACAAACTTCTAAACGGTGAAGTTCAAAAGCTCATCTTCGTGATCAAGGTTGAAACATCTTGGCTAAGCAATGGAGCGTAATACAGGCACACATGAGTAACTACTGACCTTGTAAGTTACACGGTTTAAATATGTCAACACAGTCCTGGAATATATCAGAGGTTACAACTACACAACATACTGAGTACAGCAATCGGCCACACTCGCCACAATGGACTGTGAACGCTAACAAGACAGATATCTTGAAAAGAAGAGACAAATTGAAGGTTATGTAACAACTGGTTACGTAGTATTTTGCAGGTACCGTAGAAGATAACATACAGTTTTATGACGAAAATATACGAGTCTAAATAAAGTCAGTAAGAACTAAGGTAGCGCGATGGCAATATTATATGAGAAAACATAACTAACGTCCTAGAATCCAGGTGTTCTCGGATTAGTCATGGGAGGGTTGGGCGGGAATGTGACTGTACAGTGAAAGGTTAAACCACGAATGTCCTTACAGGGGGTAGGGGGAAGGGTCAGAGGGTAAAGGGGCGGAGTAATTAGTATCAGGGTAGGGTGATACTGTGATGGCTGTGATTTGTCTGTTCAGCCGACGGGAAACGAGATTTTACACTACAAGAAGGAACTTGTCTTCACCGCTTTCAGACAGAATTTCATGATGTTATAGTTATAGAATGTTTACTGTGAGTGATTTGGGAGGATATGTGAGCGCACAGCGGCCTAGTCGTTCTAATGAAACTATCATATTAACGGCACAGGACTCTCCAGAGAAAGGGGAGTTAATTGTGAATTGATGAATACGGTTTACTGTTTTATGACCTAATGATATATGTGAAAGAAAAAATGTTTCGAATAGGCCCTTGCTGTATGCTATAGAATGACGTAGTTCAGTGCTGAATTACTGCTTCATTAGATCACAACAATGACGCCGTACATGTTAGCCTGTCAGGTCAGCGCGCAATGGGGAACACCCAGCTCTCCTTTCACTTCCTTAAAATAAACCCGGGTTTCCCCATGATGCTACCAAATACAACTCAACTACCTCATTTACAATCTCAGTTTCAACCTTTTACTTTGGAGCAGTAGCACGGTTACAGATTCGTCAGTGACTCTATATTTAATCAGATTAAGATGACACCTGCAGCTGCGTGTCTAATTGTGGCGGTCCTTGTCGTGGTTCTGTCTGTACAGGGAACAGGTAAGTCTTTCCCCCTCATTTCCCCCCTTTTAACGTTATTACGACTACGTAAGTACAGGCAGCCCATAGGGCTTACATACAGTTTTGTCAAGATATATCCCTAGGCGTGTTTTGCCGATAGTGTGTATACGGTTTAGTACTGTAACTCAAGAAGATATGGATGAATTTTCTTATTTTTTTATTTCATTTTTTTATTTATTGAGATTTACAGAAAAAATCTGACAGGAGTCATGCAACAGGATAGAATCTTTTAATAAGGCTGACTCTATACTCAATAATAGAAACAGGAAGGTACACATTATAAGAATAACAATAATAGTAATAATAATCATAATAAATGAATTGTTATGTAACTTGGCATGTCGGAAGCACATTTCGCTTTGATATCTAATGATCCCGAATTGCTAGGGTCACAGAATTTGCATGATAGATGACTCACTCGACAGGCACCTCGCCTACTTTGAAAACTACGAAAGACCATAGGAACAAAACGTAAAACAGACGACAAGCTTAAACAGACTACGAGCTTAAACAGACGACGAGCTTAAACAGACGACGAGCTTGCTTAAACAGACAACGGGCTGGCTGAAACAGACGACGAGCTTGCTGAAACAGACGACGAGCTAATACACAGAC